TTCATTATTCGGTTTTGGTTTAGGTTTACTAAATTCCTTTAATAAAATTTCCTGCAATTAAAACCTACATTGTGGACTTTTCCACTTTTGTAAAAACAATAACGGTAAAAGTCTGGTGTTATTCTTATTGTTATTTACATCTTTTTATTGGTTTAAAAGATTCAAAAACGGGGGGGGAGAGTACAAGTTTAAGAGCACTAAACTTTAAGAAAAACACAATAGAATAGGTTAAGAAAAGAATAACATACAAGAATAAAATACTATATACCATCGAATAAGGTACCAACAAAATAAAATAAAATACCATGTTATAGTAACGTATTACCTATAGTAGGTATACGTCTTGATGCATTCTCAATTATCCAAGAAAGTAAATTTCCAAAAGTTGATTCTGTTCATCTTGATGTAGCGTTTTGTGAGAGAAATGTTTCGTCACTCATCCAAGTGACTTCTTCAGTCTCAGCTGACTGCAGGTTTCCCCAATCTTATAAACAGTACAATTGTATAATGACTGAAACCAGCCCACAGAGGAACAATGGGCTGGGAGGTCAGTTCCTTAATCTTAATTGTGCAATTTCTCATGACCGTTGATCAACAACCACTGACCAAAACCCACTGATCAATGGCTATGAGTACCATTCACAGAGAGTTGGGGAATGGATGCAATCAAAAAATGAAAAAAATTGCACTCGGTATAGCACATAAATATTGCACATAATATTGCATATAAGGGAGACTGAGCGAAGGCTATTGACAGGGGATTTCTAAGAATCAAATCAAATCAAATCACTTTTATTGTCACATCACATGTGCAGGTACATTGGTACAACACATGTGAGTGAAATTCTTGTGTGCGAGCTTCACAAGCAACAGAGTTGTGCAAAATACAATAATGTAAACAAAAAAAATACAAGAATGGCTACATCTGAAACTAATAAATATATGTACAATATATAATAGTATATGCATTTCTGGATGTGTATACTAAATATTTTTCTACGTGTGTGTGTGTGTGTGTACAGATATTTTACGAATTAAATAGAGTAAACAATAAATAAAATATATAAAATAAAATATACAGAGTGAGACATGTGCAAAACAGTGGCGTTACTGTACAGTATGGAGTGCATAATGTTAAAGTTCCAGTAGTGAAGCTGAGGTGTCTATGACGTGTTCAGCAGTCTGATGGCCTGATGGAAAAAGCTGTCTCTCAGTCTGCTGGTACGGGACCGGATGCTGCAGAACCTCCTTCCTGATGGAAGTAGTCTGAACAGTTTATGGCTGGGGTGACTGGAGTCCTTGATGATCCTCCCCGCTTTCCTCAGGCACCGCTTCCTGTAGATGTCTTGGAGGGAGGGAAGCTCACCTCCAATTATCCGTTAAGAGCACCGCACTACTCGCTGGAGAGCGAGTAGTGCTGGAGAGCGAGTAGTGCAATTCTTCAGCTAAGACACCTGAGTTAGAAAACACAAACACTGCAGTTGTCTTTACTCACGAGGGCGGCCACAGAGCGCTCGTCCTCGCAGGAGGCACTCATGGACTCGTGCTCTGTCACTGTCTGCGTTCTTTATTTATACAAGCTTGTGTGTGTACAAATATAACAAAGTTATTCTAAGAACTCAGAGTTGAGGTTCCCCTTTTCTAAATCTGTATGTTCTTAGAAAAGAGGAAGCTGTTAGTTGCTAAATAAGTTTATCACACAAGAGTTTATGTGAAAAGTCACGTAGACATGTGGATTGCTTAGTGATCCATAAAAAGACACATTTCATGTAGCTGATCACACTATGTACAATTCTCTTTTGACAGCTATCATGGTGTATTGGATGTTTGTGTGTGTCTGTCTGCACATGTGTGGTCATCTACAGAGACCATGTTTTAGAGTCTGACAGCGGTTGGAACGAAACACCTGTGAAACCTCTAGGTCCCACATCATGAGTGCTGCAGCCTGCCACTGAAGGAGCTACTTACTGCTGTCAGAGTCTCCTGCATGGGGTGGGAGATGTTGTCCAACATGGATGACAGCTTAGCCATCATTCTCACCACCTGCACTGGGTCAAGAGGGCCAGTCTCTGCAGCAGGTACAGCCTGCTCTGCCCTTTTCTGTAGAGGGCATCTGAATTGTGAGTCTAGTCCAGTTTGTTGTTCAGATGAACACCAAAGTACCTGTACCAGGTGCCAGGTTACCTGTAGCCATCCACAGCCTCAATGTCCATATCTTCGATGCTTAGTGGTTGCATTGGAGGATGTTTGTGCCTGTGGAAGTCTACCACCAGCTTCTTGGTTTTACTAGTGTTGATCTGTAGGTAGTTCTGCTGGTACCAGAAATTGATTGGGTCAGTTCACTGTACTCCCTCTCATCCCCATCAGTGATGAGGCCGACTATTGCAGAGTAATCAGAGAACTTCTGCAGGAAGCACTGGGTGGAGTTGTGGGAGAAGTCTGCAATGTAGATGGTGAAGAGGAACGGAGCCAGAAAACTCCAGTGCCAGGTTGGTAGGCAAACTGAAGCGGGTCCACTGATGTGAAGCTGTGCCAGGTCGAAGCTTGCCGGTATCTTCATCAGGTGGGATGTCAGAACCACTGGCCTGTAGCTGTTGAGGTCCTCAGGATGTGGAGTCTTTGGCACTGGTACAACATAAGAAGTTCTCCAGAGCTGTGGAGCTCTCCCCAGCCTCAAGCTCAGGTTGAAGATGTGCTCCATCATCCCACACATACGATCTTGTGCAGGACTTGATAACCATTGAGCCGATGCCATCTGGACCCGCTGCCTTCCTGGCTCTGATCCTCCTCAGTTCCCTCCTAACCTGGATGGTCGAAAGAGACGTGTGCTGGATGCTGTGGTTGGGGGGTGGGGAGTAGTGAGCAGGGTGAGTAGAGGAGGTGTGAAGTGACTGAGGTGTCAGAGGGGGAACAGCTGCAGTGGGTGAGTGTTCAGCCAATGTTGAAGACTGTCTCCTGGTTTAATCAAATCTGTTAAAAAAGTGATTCAGTTCATTTGCCCACCTCATATCCCCCAGTGGCAGAGAGTTTTGATCTGTGTGGCCAATGATGGTTCTAAGGCCTCTCCAGACTTCACTAACATTATTCTGTTGAAACTGGTTTTCCATCTTCTGCCTGTAGCTGTCCTTCCCATTCCTGATCAGACCTCTCAGCTCTCTCTGCACCATTTTCAGCTCCTTCTTGTCTCCAGCTTTGAAGGCCCTCCTCTTCTGCTTGAGGACAGCTTTAATTTCTGGGGTAATGCAAGGTTTGTTGTTGGAGAAACACTGCATGGTCCTGGTGGGTATGATGTTATCCACACAGAAGTTAATGTAGCCCATAAGGCAGGTCACAAGGCTGATGTCTTCCCCGTGGTTATCACAAAGCACCTCCCACACAGTAGACTCAAAACAGTCCTTAAAAGCCTCCTCGCTCTCCTCCGACCATCTCTGCACTGTGCAAGGCCAGTCCAGACAGCATACCAACTTTGGCCAGGGTAGGACCCTGGTATGCTGTGACCTTCGGCTCTGGCTGTGCGGGTCCCTTACGCGCCCGACCATCTCTGCAATGTGCGGGCGATTGGTCGCTCCCTGCGTACTAAAGGCTCATATACAGGAACAAGGTGCACCATGTTGTGATCAGATCTTCCTGGGGGAGGGAGAGTTATAGCTCTTGCATCTTATTAGGGAGTGATCTCACATTTCCCATGATCAACAAAGGGAGAGATGTCTGTAACGTCTCCGATGCGACAACGCTCCCTCCAGGCACGACACCCCCTTCTCTTCCTCCTCACCTCACTGGGGATGTCAGGTCTGTCCGCCAGTAGCACAACTGCAGCTGCAGGGCGCAGTGCTAACAGCTGATCCCTAATATAAACAAAGGAGCCATGTGCCGGGTCTCCAAACACAGGTAAAAATGACCAGAACTCGCACGAAATGGTAGTGCATGATGGTGATGAAGTATGAAGCGTCTTGAAAGTAGCGTGATGAATACTATTGCATTTTCATTGTGTCTGCGGTGGTATGTTTACAGTGAAGATACGACGGCAGACCCGATAACTGTTTCTTGCTAGATGGGAAATCTATATGGACCGGGCCATACCATATTTCAATTACTTGATAGCCTTATTGTGGGGTGAATGAGACACGGCGGGTCCAAAAATCGTTGATCAGAGCGTCACCACACAACCCCATCGCCCGATTGAGGCTGGGGAACGATCTGGCCGAACCTACTGCCCCCAGCTAGCTTCCAACATGGCGACAGGGCCGTGTCCCTTCCGTAGGCTGCCCACGCCTCAAGTGGTGGCAGCGACGCTGGTCTGGAGTCCGGCCACGCCTCCAGCAGTGACGGCAATGCTGGTCCGGAGGCCACCTGGCGAGCCGGCACGACCCTGCAGGGATAGTCGTAAGCCCACGCTCAGGTGGCTGGGCCGGCATCTGTCACTCTGGAGCAGCTCGTGCCTAGACCTCGGACCCAGGTCGAGCAGGCTCCCCTGACACTGGGACCTATGTCTTCCCACACAGTTCCTCCACCGCTCCCAGCTGGAGAGGACTCTCGTGTGTCTCCTCCATCTCCAGCTGTGGCAGCTCCCCCACCTCCAGCGGGCACGGACCCAGCTCCGGAAATCGTTAATCAGAGCCATCTTTAGTCATTCTGACTGCAGCTCACAAGCTGCCAGCCGCACATAACGTCACACCACAACTCTCTCAACCCCTGCTTCCCCTTGGTTTTAAACACGGCGGGCGTGATAGCAGATGCTGTGCAGGTGCATTCGCACGACAACGCCAACCATGCCACCACACTCATTTATTTCTGATGGCGTAATGTCATTCTTCAATTTGGATTTATCCAAATAAGAGTGTGCATAGCCAAATTACTGAAAAAGTCTTCCACTAAGGCTGCCTCACAGGCTTCAGAAGTATACAAATTTTCATAAAATGACTGAACTGAATATTAATATTGTTTGGGGTGGTAAGTATGTTCCCACCTTCATCCTTTATTGCTGTAACAATGAGGATTATTTTTTATTAGTGCAAAAAGCTCACACAGGTTACCCTTCCTTCAAAGCTACTAAAATTATACCAGAAATAACAAGTGCCATGTTAAATAAGCTACTCATGTTACGTCTTGTCAGGGTTATTATGGAAAACACCTGGCTGATTTTAAGGTAGCCAGTACTGGGCGAGTCCCCTCACCCACATCAGCATCAGAATCCTGCATTGTCCACTGGGCAAGACTCATAGGATCAGGGATTAGGACCTTTTTTTTTTTTTAAATCAGCGAGCTGAAATCAACATCCTGTATAGGGGTTTTGTGGGCCTACCGATTGACAAGTTGAGTAAATTAAAAAACTGAGACTTCCATTTCTGACATAGAATGAACAGAGAGAGAGAGATTAGGACACAACAAAAAAACAAAACAAAACACAAGTACAACATATCCAAAAGGAATTTAGAAAAGAGAGAGAGGCAGGCCTACAGGAAGAAAATAGTGAAGCTTTTGGCCAAGACAAAGGGAAGGGGGAAATCAATGTCCAATAAAAACTGAAAGAAAGAGGAGGGGAGGAGTTTAGAGAACGTGGTGTTGGGATCAGTTATATTACTAATTGTAGTCATAACTCAGCCAGAGCTGGAGCTCTCTGCAGGTCTGTGGAGATGGATACTCAGGATGGAGCAGAGCTCTGCTTTCCACAACTCTTCAACATCTCCTGCAAGAAACCTACAACTCCTCTGTCTCAAGTTTTGCTCCTTTATATTGTTGTGTCCTCAATGTCTCTGCTGACTGTGACTCTCAACCTGCTCGTCATCATTGCAGTCTCCCACTTCAGGCAGAGTTTCATATTTTTTACCTGCTGCTGTGGCTTTACAAGTGTATACCTGATTTGTTATATCTGTTTGAATACTTTCTTTCTGTTGACTTTTTTTTTAAAATTATATTTTCCTATCTTTCTAGGCAGCTCCACACACCCACTAACATCCTGCTCCTTTCTCTGGCTGTCACTGACTTTCTCGTTGGTCTTCTGTTTATGCCTGGAGAAATCCTGCGAAATACAGCGTGTTGGTTTCTTGGTCAGCTCACATGTTCTCTGTATAATTATGTATCCTACATCATTACCTCTGCCTCAGTGGGCAACATGGTGCTGATATCAGTCGACCGCTATGTGGCTATTTGTGACCCTCTGCATTACCCCACCAGAATCACAGAGAGAAGAGTGAAACTCTGTGTTTGTCTGTGTTGGCTCTGCTCTGTTTTCTACTGTTATGTGATTTTAATAGATGATCTAAGTCAACCAGGCAAGCATAAATCTTGCTATGGAAGATGTATAATTATCATTGAATTTATTGCAGGATTTGTTGACCTTGTTTTATCCTTTATTATTCCACTTACTGTCATCATAGTTCTGTACATGAGAGTGTTTGTGGTGGCTGTGTCTCAGGCCCGTGCCATGCGCTCTCAGGTTACAGCTGTCACACTGCAGCTCTCAGTGACTCTAACAGCAAAGAAATCAGAGTTAAAAGCAGCCAAAACTCTGGGTGTTCTTGTTCTTGTGTTTCTATTATGTTTCTGTTCATATTACTTTATTTCACTTTTTGGAAACGAGTTGCTCAATAGCTCATCTGCATCGATTGTGATCTATCTGTACTATTTTAACTCCTGTCTAAACCCTTTGATTTATGCTATGTTCTACCCCTGGTTTAGAAAAGCTGTGAAACTAATTGTGACTCTACAGATACTGCAGCCTGGCTCCTGTGAGATCAGCATACTGTAGAAAAAAGAAATCTTTCCTTAATGTACCAAATGGTATATCAAATTACTTTCTCTATCAATAATGTACCATATTAATTTTACGACATTTAACAAGTAATATGCCATACATTACATTTCTTGAGTAATAACCCCAACACTGGTTGTCAAATAGTGCTGGTTTCAATTATAAAGGCCTAGAAAAGGGTTAACAACCCACTGGCAACCTCCTGTCACTAGCAACAAAATGTGCATTCTGATACTGTTTGCCGAGTGGTTGCTGGCTATCACTGGGTCAGACTGGTTGAAAACAGTGTCACAAAAAACCTCGACATGATTGTTTTAATCACCAAAATGTTGCTGTGGCTACTCAGAGGGAAGATTCCAGGTTTTCAAGTTTGCCTTGTTACCAGGCAGCTGCAAACCAGTCTTTAGTGTGATGACTCCTGTGTGGAGTTTATCTTGAGACCTGGGTAGAAAGAGATTGCAATGCCCCCCTGGGTACCCTTACATCACAGCTAACAGATGCTAAAAAAGTCTTAATATCCAGCTTTATGTGACTGAAAATTATCAGAGTGTGTGTGTGGGTGTATGTGTGTGCGGTCAAAGCAACACTCTGATTGCGGGGATTGCGTTACAATAAATGTTCAAGTGAAAATGTGCTACACACAAAGTTAATTCAAGTAGAATTACACAAACTGAATGAAGCTTGATGTGAATACCCAAAACCTTATATTCGAAAACAGGGGAAAACTCCTGAAAAAACCCTTAGTCTTTTTTCTTCAAACCAGCCCTCTATTAGCTCCGTCTCAAATTCAGCAAAGTCTAAGTTCTCCTTTCGCTCTCACTCGAACCGGACCGCAGCCAGCGCATAATTTTTCCTTCTTGTTTGCTCCCCGGCTCAGCTCCCCAATGTTGCTTACCTAGTTTGAAAATTTGTGCCGGAGACCAACTCCGCCCAACTTCGCCCCGCTGCCAATCACATAACAAGTGGGCGGCTCCCCTCGCACCCTGGTTAGCCAATCGGATACGGGTCCGATTTACCTTCACTGGGATAGGTTTATTCTCTCGCTGGCATTCAGGATAAATAATCTAACATTTCAGCTTAAATTCAATTGTTTTTTTTCTCTCAGAAAAAACAAACAACTTTTCTCTCTTTTTCACAAACAACATGGAAGCCAGACCTGCCAACCTCACTGTGGTCTCTCAGACCCCAGTAAAAAGCTACAGAGCCTCCGCCACGCCAGCAGAACTCACACGAATGCATCTTTGCAGGGTTCAGCCAACATCCGCTATCCATTAGATGAGAGATTCCGTCTCAGCACTGGTGGGTTTTGGGGCTATGCTTTCAGCCTCCCAAGAGCGAAATCTATTTCTACCACCTAAAAGCGGGTGAAAGTTTTGGCCCGCTAACACCGCTGATCGCTTTTACTTGCTCTGACTGGGCTGTTTTGACCCTCATCACTACCCCTGAAATCCAGAAGAGCCTGCGGGAAACGAGCTCGCAGCAACCACAAACCAGGGACCAGCAGACTCATCCGGTTTTCAAAGAGGCCCACGCGTTTCCACCATTCAACCAACAACCCCACTGACACTGGCCTTTAAACATGGTGAGAAAGACCGTCACATACACCCAGTGGGAGACCAAGAGCACGCCATTTTGCAGGTGGATCTGCAGAGCTAGTTGTCAAACAACCAATGATGCTCACACAGATGATTTTGTGTTGGACCTTTCAAACACCCAGTCCGGTGTTTTCAACACCATGCTTCGAATTCCCACTCAGGACTGGGTGAAGATGGTGGGTGAAAAGACTGGGAGAATATTAGAGCTTTTTAAGCTAAGTAAAACCACAATTGAGTTGGTCCTGGTTGGAAATAACCCGCAGCGCTCTACATAGCCCTGCCCCTCATCCAGTCCCCCTTACCCCTGCGTCCTCCTCACCCTGTCCTTCTAAAAACCACAACGGCTGTGTCCTCCACATCACACATCAAAGATCACACATCTGCCATGTGTGATCTTTGAAGTTATGTTTAACTATGGTTTTATTTCATGATCGAGCATTACACTTTGATTCTAGTAAAACAATATAATGAGTTTGATTCTTGCAATGCTTTTCCAAGAAAGCTTTATTTGATGTAAGATTTTTCCAAAACAATTTTATTTGTTGTAATTAAAAACATAACATCTGAACAAGTAAAACAAATAACGAGTTTGATTCTTGCAATGCTTTTCCAAGAAAGTTTTATTTGCTGTAATGAAAAACAAACAAACAATACATTTAAAATGGGTAAAACAACTCCAAAAAACAAAAGAGAAAAAAACAACAAAGCTAAAAAAACAAGAAAAACAAAACATTTGAGAAAAATAACAGGGAAGAGAGAAAAATGATTACTAGGAGAGCCAGAGTGAGTAATTCTCGCCTAGTACTTTATGAATCACTGTCCTGGTCACCCCCGTGATGCTGGCGTCAATTTCTTGCAGCGCGGCCTCTATATCGCGGACATCTCTGAGTTCAAACAGATATGCCTGGGCAACGCCTCTGACTTGAGCCGCTGGAAAAACCCTCTAACCGTAAAAATGGTAATAATGTGTTGGTGAAATGTCCATTCCATAGTCTTTTGCAGAGTTCATCATAGTATCTGAAAAAGTACTATTTTTCCAGCGGGAAAAGACAAGAATGTCGTCTCTGCAAGGGGTCGGAGACCTCACATCCTTGACACACATCTTAACGGTGCTTAAGGATTAAACGGTTAATTTTGTGAGTTCCATAACAGCCGTGGGGAGTAGAGTCGCCGCCTCATCACTGTCCACAGCCGAAGGCTGACTGCGGCTCTCGTGGGGGTGGGGATCAATGTCTTTGGGCTCTCGGAAAAGGGCCCGGCATACAGGGTCGCCCAAAGCCCAAAGCGAGGCACCGGAGACTGAAGTGTTTGCGGGGTCTGGTCCGGTGATTGCCAACCGAGTTGAGGGTGGCTTGGCGAGTTCCATCCTTGAGGTGATGAGGGCGGGGCGGAGTATCTGGAAGCATAGCGGCCGGAGACACTGAGGCCTGATGCGGGCTCTGAGGTGGGGTATCCAGGGCCATCGGCGGATGCAAGTAAAAGCGATCCAAAACTTTCACCCGCTTTAGGTGGTAGAAATAGATTTCGCTCTTGGGGAGGCTGAAAGCATAGCCCCAAACCCACCAGTGCTGAGACGGAATCTCTCCTCCAATGGGATAGCGGATGTTGGCTGAACCCTACAAAGATGCATTCGTGTGAGTTCTGCTGGCGTGGCTGAGGCTCTGTAGCTAGTTACTGGGGTCTGAGAGACCACAGTGAGGTTGGCAGGTCTGGCTTCCATGTTGAAAAGAGAGAAAAGTTGTTTGTTTTTTCTGAGAGGAAAAAAACCAATTAAATTTAAGCTGAAATGTTAGATTATTTATCCTGAATGCCAGCGAGAGAATAAACCTATCCCGGTGAAGGTAAATCGGACCTGTATCCGATTGGCTAACCGGGGTGCGAGGGGAGCCGCCCACTTGTTATGTGTTTGGCTGCGGGGCGAAGTTAGGCGGAGTTGGTCTCCAGCTCAAATTTTCAAACTAGGTAAGCAGCATTTGGGAGCTGAGCCGGGAGCAAGCAAGAAGGAAAATTATGCGCTGGCTGCGGTCCGGTTCGAGTGAGAGCGAAAGGAGAACTTAGACTTTGCTGAATTTGAGACGGAGCTAGTAGAGGGCTGGTTTGAAGAAAAAAGACTAAGGGTTTTTTCAGGAGTTTTCCCCTGTTTACGAATATAAGATTTTGTGTATAGAGGGTTCCCTAAGTTATTCTAGGGGTTTTTTTTTGCTGCGCGTATTTGGATAAAATACGGAGGGTCTTTCAGGAGGTTTCCTGCTTATTTGCCTAAGGGTTGGGTGGGAACAGAGAAAGTTTGATCAAATTATTCTAGGATTTTTTGTTGTTGTGCGTTTTTGGAGAAAATAGTTTTTTTCAGGAAGTTTTTTATGTTGGGAGCCGCGGTGCGTTTATGCTCGGGGGGATCGCGAGAGTTTTTTGAGACTCTGACTTTGATTCTAAATCTCCTTGTTCGGATTAAACAAATGCAAATAAAATGAAATAAAGTCTTTCCCAAGACATGCAACCTGCATGTCTCGCCATACTGTATGTTAAAAATGCACAAGTTTAACTAAGCACTTTTACTTTTAGGGCGATCGTGGCTCAAGAGTTGGGCGTTCGCCTTGTAATCGGAAGGTTGCCGGTTCGAGGCCCGGCTCGGACAGTCTCAGTTGTTGTGTCGTTGGGCAAGACACTTCACCTACCGCCTACTGGTGTTGGCCAGAAGGTCCGATGGTGCGATATGGCAGCCTCACTTCTGTCAGTCTGCCCCAGGGCAGCTGTGGCTACAACTGTAGCTTGCCTCCACCAGTGTTTGAATGGGTGGATGACTGGGTGTGTAAAGCGCTTTGGGGTCCCTAGGGGGGACTAGTAAAAGCGCTATACAAATACAGGCCATTTACTCTGGTTGAACACATTTTCACACACACAAGCACAGTCCCAGAGACATAAGCACAGACCCCAAGACACAAACACAGTCCCAGAGACACAAGCACAGTCCCAGACGCACGAGCGCGCTGACCCACCACCAGATGGCGTTTTTTAAGCATAAAAGGTAAAAACTTTTTTTAATGGCTTAAAAATAAAATAATGCTATTAGATATAGAAACTTTTTAAAAATAATCAATTAGTTCTTTTTTGGGGGGTGGGGGGGAGGGGGAAACAATGAGCTATGAACTAGCATATTTTGGATGAATATCATATTTTTTGATGACTATCATAATTTTACTGATATCATATTTTTTATGAATATCATATTTTTGTTACTTCCTTTATTACTTCCTAGGGTCACAAATCATTTTATTGGGGCCACAAATCACTCTGTTTGACATAAGGGGCCTAATATCGCTCCTACTGTCAACAACTTGAATGCCCAGCTGAGTGTCTCTCTAGGCCTGGCTGTGCTCATCCCTCCTTCAACCTCTCCTCCCC